TAGTCGTTCAGAGATCATCGCTTTGGAGCGAAAGAGGGATAATAAGGACGACGTTATCGTTCACTTCAATATACAGATGTCGGCGCAGAGGCCCGACATAGACTCGGCCGACCTGTTCGTGGTGTTGGGCGACGAGGTGTTGAACCAAAAGTTAGGCGTCTTCAAGAACTGGACCATTGACTACAACTCGCTGGACATTCAGGAGCGCCGGTGGTCTCGCGAGTCGCCGGAAGCCTCGTCGGCGCTGTTGAGTAACCCCTGGGAGTATAGGACCCGCTTTCCCGGTCTATTAGAGGGACTGCCGCTGGCGGCCACCCCTTCGCCCAGAAAGTGCGCACCAATTAGTCTATCGATCTGTCAGTCCCTGTCGTACAACAAGACCTCATATCCTAATATTATCGGTCACTGGAATACCAGTTCCCTCGACGAGGATCTCATTTCCTTTCGACAGCTAATCGACTTCGAGTGCTATCCCTTCGCACAGGAATTCATTTGTCGACTCTTACAGCCGGAATGCATTGACGACGAACTGGTCTACCCGTGCCGTCACTTCTGTCAAGACTTTTATAAGTCGTGTTCCCATTGGATACCAAAGAAGTTATTGAAAAACTTTGATTGCAATGACTTTCCGTCGATGAATGAGACGAACAGCAAATTAATGGATAAGACGTCGAGAAAGAGTAGTGATAACTATAGTACCAATAAAAGCAATGAGAGTAACGGCGCCGACAATAAGGCTTTATGTAAACCCAAACCGGAATGCGTTTCTCAGCCAAAAGTGTCCACATATTCGCCATTATATTCATGATAGACAACCAAACATATCACATATTTTTTATTGCTTAACATTTTCACTGTAAATATCAACACATTTTAATATTAATATTATTTATTTCTTTCAGTTATTGTTGTCTTTTCAATCAAATGTGTTTATCGTCTCCGCAATTGATCCGCGAATTTATAGTTAATGTCTCAATACCTAATATAATGTACTAGGTACATGTGTGTACATGTACAGTGTATTCTCAGTGTATGTATTCTGTAATATTATAATTGCAGAAATGTTTTTTTCATATATATTATTATTATTATCAATATTTCGTTGACAATAATCTGAAAGTTAAATGTAATGAAAGTTTTTGCATTAAACGTGAAGAATTGCTTTTCATGTGATAAATAGAGACTTCATTATACCATTCAATTCATTGGACTTTTTTCATAATATTTTATTATGAATTGCGAAATGAGATGAAAAACTTTGCATTTGAATAAAGACTTAATATTAATACCATTGAATTTATAGCCGAGTATTTAGTTCATAAAAATTTGTTTTTTTTATTTGTGAGCTATATTTCTGTTGAAATGTTTTTATTGAAAAATGATATTAATTTTTTGAATACATGTTAAGACTATCGATGTTATCGTAACTATAATACTTGTGATCATTAGATACCGTATAACTGTATATTTGACTCCTCCATAAGAAACACATTATTTTGTATAAAATAAAAATTAAATAAAATAAAAATATTTCATTTCTACTATCATTAAATTTAATATAAAAATTGTGACTTATTTTCAGGAATTTTATCTCATTTTTATTTCCTGATTCTCCACCGTTTTCTCGTATATAAAGACATTTTCCATGAATTCCTCAGTTATTTATATTCTTAAAGAATTTAAATTAAAACTAAGATTTTAATATTGATCTCAAAGTTACTGAATTTGTATTCAAAGTCGAGACAACGGATTAGTGACAAATGCAAATTCAATATAAGTTTTACATGAAATAAATTTTATAAACAGAATATTCTGTCTATTTTAAGAAATTTTTGTTAATATTTAATAGGATTTACTATTTGAAAGTCAATATTAACTTATAAACTGGGAATATATGCACTTAAATTGATAATCAAAAACAATAAATTGTTTGAATATTAAATGTTATTTAATATAATAGAGAATACATACTATATATTAAATAACAAATTATAATAATAACGAGTATATTATGGTTTAATGAAACAAATCGCTGAGAATTTTGTTGAAAACTGGAGAAAATATAATCTGATTTATCATTCAAAACAAATCAAATTAGAAAACAGTTTTGAAAATGAATTATATTATTGAATAATAAAAATATGAAATAAAAGTAAATCTAATAACAAAACACATGAATACTGGAAACACGCTGTTTGGGCAAAAATCACCAGAATTTATAAAAACATAAATAAATATTTTGCTCATATTTTATTGAAAAATCAGAAACAGATTTGTGATTCTCCTTTACTTAAAGCTAAGGCTAAGCCCAGAATATTCTGCATATACAGTAATACATAATATCATAACGTTATGATAGGGTATTGAGTGGGAAAATATAATAAATCGCTAATCGTTGCCGTTTTATCATCGCTAGAGGTCTGTTGGGTGGGGAACGGGATGTGAGAATAAATCGATAACAACTCCACAAAACACAACACAACTGAAGGCAAGGGAAGGAGAGGCGCGATAGACGACGACTGACTACTACTCAACTCGACTCCGACTCCGCCACACATACACACAGTCAGTGTATGTATAGTGAGAATCCATCAGAATTTTGAACGCTATGTACCGCTCATTGGCTTCAAAATACTCAACCATTTTCTAAAACTCATGTCTAAACACCATATATAAGGAGATATATCGCCTGAACGTACCTCTCGTACGCCGAGTGTCGCGGAGTGTCGAGTGAACCGGTAGTCGACGGCGACGGCGACGAGAGAGTCGAGCACTCCTTATCTCATCTCTCAAAACAGTTTTCATATATATTTCTGTTCAACCGATTCAGTGAACGAAAACTTTTTGTTTTTATGTGCAAAATATATGTTATATTTTATTCTGTTATGTTTGCCATCCATTGCCAGCCAATGGTCCGCGAAATGAATGGATATTTGCATTATTCAGACACGAGATGAGGTGATCCGACCATTGCTACCGATATATGAATATATGACATGTTTTCCGTTGTTATTGTAAAGTGTTTTCTATCTCCCAGTGCCAGAGTATGTGCTAATTGTTTGGACTGTTATTTTTTACCAAGTGAATTATTATTATAGCTTTTAATGCCTTTTTATATTATCATTTATTATCCATTGAAATTATAGACCACTAAAACACAACCATAATATCGATTCCTTTAAACCATGTATTCAATTAATATATCATATCATAAATTATTTAATAAATTTAAACACTTAAATGTATATTCATTTTATGGAAATAGATATTAATTAATAAAAGAAATTATAAATTAAGTGACAAAACACAGAATATTCTTTAAATTAAAGAAAAATTAATTCTCAAATGATTGACAGAAATATTATATCTAATTATGAGATATAATAGCAAATTGTTGTTAATATACTGTTTAACGATAATCTACTTATCGCTCGTAACGCTATGTGCGGAACAGCCGGTGCTCCGATCGACGCCCGCAGTGGAGTGGGGCGTAATCGGCGACAAAAAGGACCGGGCCACACTGACCCTGCTGCAAAAGTACCACAACGCCAGTGCCATTTTGCACTTCATTGAACTCACGCACAATATATCCAACAGCCGGACCACAAACGGCGGGACGGCGTGTCAGCGCCAGTCGCTATCGGCGTTCAATTTCACTGTGAAATACTCGTCGTATAAACGGTTTTCCCTGCAGTCGGAGACCGCACTCAAGACCTCGAACCTGTTGACCAACTTATTCACGACCAACGAGTCGCTGCCACCGCCAGCCCTGCACCGGGAGTTCTTCGAGTCGCTGGTCAGGGCCAACGTGCAGAGCGATCCCCTCATCTTCGGCTCCGGCATCGCATTCAGTGCCAAATCCTTCAATAATAAGGCCAATGAGTGGCTGTTCGCGCCGTTCGCCTACAGGAATCTCACCACAAGACAGATCATCAACAGTGACCTGACCCGCGGGTGGAGCCAATTGGTCGCCACTCACTACTACAATATGCAACCCTATCGGACAGACAACTACTCGCTGTCGGGCGACTGGTTCTGGGCGTTCGCCACCAATCAATACAACAGACATTTGTCGCAGTGGCACAAGAATATCACCAATAATTTTCTCGTCAAACCCGACGAGTCCGGCGTCTGGACGGCGCCCTACTTTGACTGCGGCGTCACCAACACGTGGCTCATCTCATATATCGTGCCTTTCTTCGGATCAGCTATCGGTGATAAAACCAAAATGGAGTTGAAGTGAGTTTTTTTTGTTAATTAAATTTGTTTATTTTTTATATTACTTTATATTCAGCGGACATTTAGATTTTATTTTGCATTTACTTCTCCCGATTATTATTATTATTATTATTATTATTATTATTATTATTATTATTATCCTTTGAGTGAAACTTAATATAATTTAATATTTTTGAGTTGCGATTGAATTACACACTTCTTGTGGTACTTATAGCCGTTGTATTTGTGTTGAGATTTCTCTTTTAGTTATTTTATTTTATTATATATTTTTGTCGCCGTTTTCCTCGTCTCGCAGTCGACGCAGAAATTAGATTAAATTTTCTGCAAAATTATTTGTTTTTCCAGTATTTTTTATATTATATTTTCTAATCAAATAAAACTTGAGAAAAGTGGTCTAAGTTTACCATCCGATAGGTCGGTGCGATTGAATTGAGAAACTTTTTTTTCTTAAACACTACTCTCTGTTTGAATTTCATTGATTGAATTGTGTTGTCGTTTATAAATAGTAATTGAAATTCAAGTAAATATAAACTGTATTGTCATTCAATCAAATAAGATGTGAGATGATGGCTATAAATAGCAGTTTTGTGCCAAATATTTATTGCAATTTGTATATCAAATGCAATGTTTATATTAACCGCATATTTAAATATTTAATGTAAATATTCAGTCAGTTCGCAGGGATTGCCGAATGAAGTGGCGATTAAAATGCGGGACAAAATAAATCAACTTTTTTCAGTCAAGTATCTCATTGTAATGACATGTTATCAGCAAAAAGTATGTCTAAAAAACATTAACTCCTCTTAACTCGTTAAATGAGATCCAATGATATGAGTCTCTTGTAGTCTTTCTCACTCAGTCTCTCTCTCTCTCTCTCTCTCTCTCTCTCTCTCGTCTTTATCTCAATCACTATCCCTATCTATATATAACACATCAGAAAAATTTTAATTATCTCTGATTGAGATAAGAAGGCTTGGATTCTTACACTCAAACTATTTCTCTCTCTCTCTCTCTCTCTCTCTCTCTCTCTCTCTCTCCGACTCACTCACGCACTCACTCATTGCCTGCACTCATGTTTTCTAATTACTAATTAATTAATTTTATGGTTTAATTGAATTAAATATTTTTGTCATTTGTTTGTCATTCACTTCATAGACAGCCAACTGTTCGGTTGTTTTATGTTTGAGAATACAATGCATTCAATGAGTGAGTCGTTTGTCGTATCCATTGTTTTGCCGATTAGTGAGTCGTCTATCCATTTGTTACCATATTTTGCTTAATATTAATATAATATATAAGACATTATTATATAATATATTGATTACAGACTTAGTGTAGACTCCGACTAAATGGTGTTCTGGGTTTTAGTCGTAACTTACATAATATAATATGAATGACTAATTCTAATATATTATAATTTATATTATGCCCTATTATAACGGACAGTCATTATATTTTAAGAGTTTTTATCTCAAATTATGCAAAAATATTTTTGTAGTTTATATCAAAATATGTTACTTAATGAAACAGAAATATTTGTGCCTATAATGTAATGCCATTCTCTAAATATAACACAATATTCTCTCTATAAGTTATATAGTATAACATGTATGGCTTTTACAAGAGTTTATAAATTTTTAATCATTTTATAAACATTTTCGACAAAATGTTATTCCTTTGAATTTTCCATTTTATAGATTAGTGCCTAAAATGTAGTCTTTGTTTTGCATTTCATGTTTAGATAAAATCTATTTTTCATAAATAACACAAAAAACGATAATTGAATTGATATTTTGATGGCAAAAAACTTTTTGTTTTAAATAAATAATTTTGATGGTACATATTGTACTGTATATAAAACTGTTTATATATATACCAAGAGCTAATATGTCATAACATACAGTAATTGGTTTTAATAATTAAATGGTTTTAATATATTTTTATTTATTTATGAGAGAGCTTGTCTTTTGTGTTACAATATATAAGATATAATACCATTTCTATTAGTGACTTACATACCGGTGCACTGGAAACACTTGTACCGCTAAATTGGCGTACAATAGGATTTCCAATCAAAATCCCCACGAGTTTTCAAGATTTAAGACTAAATTTTAATCAAATTGACTGAAAGTTAATTAAAATCATTGCTTTTGGTTTGACTATATAACACAGAAAACAATAAAGAATATTCTGTAACCAAAAAGTACAATATATAAACATAACACAAAAAATACACAAAATGTGTCCACAATTTATAAATTTGTGTTTTGAGCCGAAAATATTTGACACAAATTTGTGCCCAAAAACACATTTATTTGTAAAAGTCTAAAACGTTATGCACTCTTGCAAATTGTATTTTATATTATATTTTGTTTTTCGTTTTTATTTCCAAACCTTTTATTTTGCACCAAAATTCATCTCAATTTCATAGCTAACAGCCCCTCCAGTGTATACCATAAACCTTGTTAATACATTATACCTTACATGACATTTAATATCAGACTGGACAGGCGTTTGGGAAATGTCGTGCCCTTTACACGAGTCAATCTATAATAATTTATTAATAGCAAATATTTTTATTACAAGTAATGGACACAATCGTCTATATCTTAAATAAAAAGCCACAAAATTTGATTACATTTGCAAACCAAAGGGTCTATTGGTCTGCATATTAGGTAGAAGTCATTGAATGCATAAAACACGGCTTGAGTTGACTTTTCATTTCATTTCAAATCTATTTTTATATGACTTTCCTTTCGGCGCTAGTATTACAGCGAATAGTAATATGATAAGTATCTCAACATTTCAGTGTTTCTGTGTTTCTCATTCATTGCATTTACAGAATGAATGACTATTTTAGTGCATATTTTTTTAATGTAATTTTAATGCAATGTTACGATAAAACAAAAGGATATGAAATTTAGAAACAGAATAAAGTAGAAATACATTTAGGAGAGAGAGAGAGAGAGAGAGAGAGAGAGAGAGACTAAGGGATCTTGAATAAAACGCTATCAATATTCATGAGTGAATAAAATCTTTAAAAGTGTTTCAGTTATCATACACTCGTTGCAAATGCATAGATGAGAGAGAGAGAGAGAGAGAGAGAGTCGGAAAAAGTGAAAGGATTTTTTAGGCTCGAGTAAAGCTCTTATGCTATAATTTATTGATTTTTATCATCATTTCCACACTTTTATCTCACATCTCCTTTTAATTCATTTTCAATTTTTTAGCGAATTATTGAAAATAAATGAAATGTATGATAAACTGTTGTAATATATTGTGATACAACAGTGTATGTGTAACCGTATTAGTAGCAAAGCCCTTCAAAAGCTAAATCTCTGAATTTATTTAAGAGTTTTATTAAAGTTTTACTTTAAAAACTATTTGAATATAAAAAGAAATAATTTTCATGAGACTATTAAATGAATGATTGAAAGCATTACTCGCTTTTTATTGTCTGCTTTTTGAATGCCATACAACAACTCAATGGCTATAATGGGGTGAAAATATATAGTTTGCGAAAAAATAATTTTTAAATGCCGTACATATCAATGATGTGACGAATACAATAAAATAGCAATAAATTCATACAATAAAAGGGCATTCATTTAGAAAGTGGGTTACTATCGGTGTTAAAGATTAGCCATAAGCTTAATATTAGTAGCGATGCACTCGTATTGTATTAATACATTTGTGAAGTTTGAGAAAAACGCGTTTCGTATGTAATTTATTTACGATGGGTTGACAATAACTTTCATTACAATTATTATTATATCTGTAATATTGAGGTCAACGAAGAATTTGTACTCAAATGATAACAGAGGGGGAAAAATCTAACGTTTAATTCATTGCATTAATGCTTTATTTATACCTATTGTGCAGTCATTCACTCTTAAAGGCTATAATTATATAACACTTTAATTAGGAGAAGCAGTCATTGAATTGCACTGAATTGTATGCACACAACACACAATCAAAAAAACATAAATACAATTAATATGTTATAAATAATTACACGACTGACAGGTCCGCCCGACCCGCCCGGTCAGCCGTCAGTCGCGCTGTTGGCGAGGGCTCAGGGCTTAGAGATCTCATGGTCCCAGTGCTCGTACGACGGGGGCAGTCGTGTGACGGGCTATACCATAGAGACCAGAATCGATGGCAGCGACGATTGGATTACTATAACTGATGATCACATTTGCAATTCCTATACATTGAAAGACATTACCGTAAACTCCATTTACTCGTTCCGTATCAGTGCTACCAATGGCTACGGCACCAGTATGTGGAGTCAGCCCTCCGAACCCTTCCACTATAAACCGCACACTAATAGCGATAATAATATTGAGTTTGCGATCAATTATTTAGAGAGCGGTAATGCCATTAGCAGTCTATCTCTCTATTCATTCAATCAGTTTCTTAGGCTTTTATTTGATTACATTTCATAGACAGAGATATCGAGCGCCGGGATGTAGTGGTCGAGAAAGACGTGAATTTCAATGAGATCTATAGTCTCAAAGAAGAGGTGGGCAGGTATGTGTCAGCACCAGTAGGCCTTTTGTAGGAGTTTTTGTGTTTTAATTACTTTAATGACTGCTAAATTTGATTTGTAAGATAAAAGTCTCTCTCTCTCTCTCTCTCTCTCTCTCTCTCTCTCTCTGCTAATCACATAATCATATATTTAGGGGTCGTTTCGGTCTCTGCAAAAGAGTTATCCAATTGTCTAATAATAAAGAAAAAGCGGCGAAAATAATACGTTGTTTGAGGCCTAAGGACAGGGAGCAGGTGTACAGAGAAATAGACATTATGAATAAGTTACGGCACCGGCATATCCTACAGCTGGACGGCGCCTACGAGTTCGCCAAAGAGATGATATTAATCACAGAATAGTGAGTCCACACCATAACCACTAGAATTAAAATTAATTTAATTTTAAAAACTAAAAAACAAAATCAAAAAATATGAATCTCATGACAATTACAAAATCCAAATGCAATTCCTGTGAGTATAGTATCTCTGGAGGGGAACTGTTTGAGCGGATAGTGGCCGACGACTGTCTAGTCCTCACAGAATACGAATGTCTTCTATTCATGAGACAGATCTGCGAAGCCGTGTCTTATATGCACCGCAAGAATATAATGCATTTGGATTTGAAACCGGAAAACATATTATGCAAAACGCGCACCAGTTATGAGATTAAGATCATCGACTTCGGACTGGCCCGACCCTACGACAGCACCGAGACCCTCAAGATCTTGTTCGGCACTCCGGAGTTCGTGGCGCCGGAGATCGTCAACTACGAGGCCGTCACACCCGCCTCCGACATGTGGTCAGTCGGTATGTGTCAGACACTACCTCTCACTTCCTAATTGTAATTTAGTTGCGAGAGAAACAAAAAATGTCATTTGAATTGCAAATACCGTTCACTAGTCAGTGATTATTCATTGATTATTTAAATATATTCTTTAGTATTAATCATAAGAAATACAATACTTATTATTATCTTAATTGAAACGACAATTAACTCTATATTTGAATATAAGGCACTAATGAATGATGAGATTATAATTGCAAATATGAAATCATGTGATGTCTTATAATACAATTCACTTCAGGAGTCATTTGTTACGTACTTCTGAGCGGATTATCGCCATTCATGGATGAAACCGACGCCAAGACGTTATGTAATGTCACTCAAGCGGAGTACGACTTCGAGGACGAGGCCTTCGACACCATCACAGATGAGGCCAAACGATTCATATCGTCATTACTGGTGAAGAAACCAGAGTTCGTGTCATTTGTGAAACACTATTCATAACTTCTCATAACTATTTCTAATCTAATTGTTTGGATCTCCTATTTTTAATGACTTCTAAAACCATTATTTTTTAACTCATTTGAAAAACTCCTTTTTTGTCTGAATTTTATTTTTATTTTATTGTCTGTAATGTTGGGTACAATAGTGAACGCCTGAGCGCTGATGAATGTCTGGCCAATAGTTGGCTAAAGAGAGAGCCATCAATGCATATCCCGATCGCTACGGAGAAACTCAAAAAGTTTTTGATTAGACGAAAATGGCAGGTAATCCACACAAACAATACTTATTATATGGCTAAGCATCCAGTTCCCCCTTCCAAATGTGTCGTTTCCTAAACTATGTCACTGTCTCACAACAACTTTTTTCCATTATCTCTCTCTCTCTCTCTCTCTCTCTCTCGCCCACAAAATATAACACAAATACTAAATATAATAGAGAAATAAATCAATAAATATCTCTATAAATGTAAGGAATGTATGTCTCGAAGGAAAGACTGTATTTGTGATTAACTATATTACAGAAAACTGGAACCGCTATCCGAGCGTTGGGTCGAATCACACATTTAGGACTTCAGAAGAAATGTTTGTCCTAAAAGACAATCAATCGACTGATCATTAAATGTAATCATAATTTTTATGGCAATTACTGTAAACGTTGCCATAAAATCGCATAAAAAATCTTATTTTATAGGATTGTATAACAATTTATGTTTATTCAGACAAATAATATACTATTATTATGTAATTCCAATACGAGTTGAAAAGTTTTAAACAATTATTTATTTCATATTACCCTCTATAAAAACTAATTATTTATTTTATCGGAAGATTAATTTATTTATTGTACAAAAAGTATTTGTTTCGCAACAAACTGATTTGCATTTGATGTTAAAAATGCTAAATGTATTTAAAATTTAAATTTAAACATCGAGATTCACAGAGAAAATAGGAAAAAAGCAATTGTCTTTATAATTGAGTTAATTATGTGTTGTTTTTCTATTTGGGAAATTGATTTCGACTTTCATTATATAACCTCTTTTTATGTGTGTTTTACTCATTTAATAAACAAAATATAATGACAATAACAACGAGTTTTTTCTGAGCGTTAGTTAATTGATTGCTTTGAAAGATAAACACAACTTTTTTGAAATAGTTTTCAATTTTGAAAAACAATGCCTTTTAACAAGAATGAGGAAATATAAGTAGATATGAGTTTTTAAGTCAAATTAAGTACAATTATATGATTATCTTTGTATCACACAAATAATTCATATTGTGATACCTCTTTTTATGTGTGTTTTACTCATTTAATAAACAAAATATAATGACAATAACAACGAGTTTTTTCTGAGCGTTAGTTAATTGATTGCTTTGAAAGATAAACACAACTTTTTTGAAATAGTTTTCTCGAAAAGTCGTTTTCAATTTTGAAAAACAATGCCTTTTAACAAGAATGAGGAAATATAAGTAGATATGAGTTTTTAAGTCAAATTAAGTACAATTATATGATTATCTTTGTATCACACAAATAATTCATATTGTGATTATTAAATTTGATTTACAAAATAATGCATAAAAGCTTTTTTCATTCATTATTCACTCATATCTCAATCATAAGGAGATGTTATGTATTCATAAACAATTAGATCAAAGATTTATTACGATTCTTGACTTTTATTACATAATATACCCGTGAATTTTGGTGCTCCCTTTGCCTATCAGTCATGACATACCAGTGCTCCTCAATCACCAGTATATCACCGAAAGAAGAAAAATAAAACAACAAATGAATAAAACAATTCATTTATTGTACTCCAGTGTTGATTATTGTAATTTTGAAAGTTTTCAATACTTATATTACACAAGAGGTTTACACCGCATATTGCCATCAGTTTAGACATGTATAGAGAAATGGTTTCATAGAAAATATGAAAAAATACAAATAATATAGTTTTGTTGAATAGAAAATATATAATAAATAAAAATAAAATAATAATAAACCAAACGATGCATTATATTTGCTACAATACCGTCTATCTCTCGGTGCTCACTACCAGTCCTCACATAACAAACCGCACATTCAGTTCATAGCGTATACCACAGAGAGAGCACTGTTATCGCAATTTCTTATCTCAAACTCTCATCTATTACTTCATGTATTGTATAATAAAATAAACTCTTTTTTATTCCTTCATTGAAGACCTAATTCTTGCTAAAAGTCGTACAAATGGTATGGAAAGGCATTCGCATAGAGAGTACAGAAATGCAAATATTTCTTATTAAATGCAAATTCGGTGTTTGAATTGACTGTTGGTTTTCAAAGTGAAATATACAATGAGATTGTGTTTTGCCAGAGATTTATTCATTGGTATGAATGAGTGGTTTATTTATGAGAGAGTCAGGAGAGAGAGAGAGAGAGAGAGAGAGAGAGACTTTTATCTTAAATCAAATTTGGGAATATATTTTGTGATGATATGTGATGTGTGAGTAAATTGCATTAAAATGCCAATTAAATGTGAATCAAATCTCTTAAAGGGATGAAAGATTTAGAGCACCGGTACGTGTGAGGGTTGTGAAGGGGTCTGTGAACTGGAGTTTCTCATTGTATTTATTATACGGTTTTTTTAGAGAGAGAGAGAGAGAGAGAGAGAGAGAGAGTCAGGAGAGAGAGAGAGAGAGAGATTTGATTCACATTTAATTGGCATTTTAATGCAATTTACTCACACATCACATATCATCACAAAATATATTCCCAAATTTGATTTAAGACTTTCTTTAGACAACAAATTTCTCAAACTTATAAATTGTGTATAATTTTCGAGTTGATATCACACTTACGTATGTCTATCACGTCTTTCTATGACCCCTTCCCTCCTAAATATTATCATTAAATTGACTCTAATTTTAAGTTTCAGTTAATTATCTCTATTTCTAAAAGTAAATCACAAAACAATTAATTATATTTTTTACAACAAAAAACAAATTTGTTCCGTATTTGCATACAATGCACAAAATGCGAGAGAAATTAACTCAAACGTCAATTTAATTAACAAAATAATAAGAAATAAAATTAAAAATTTAATTTATTTTCCAAAATAATTTGTTTGGCGATAAAATGCAAATCCAATGAAACGCTTCATTGAAAAACTGAAATGAATGCTCGACTGAGCGCTCAAATTGTCAAATAAATTGTAGACAAATATTTTTCAATGCCTTTCCCTACACTTCCAAACAGGCTTTACCTCCTATCATATCCATGTATATATTATCGCACAAGCTTTTTTCTTACTTAATTAATAGCCTAAGAATTAGCGTTTTTATTGCCAGAAAAATAATAATATTGTCTTTGAAACACGAAAACAGTATTTCCTGCGAAAACCATAAGTAAAAGTCGTTTTCAAACAATAATAACTACATTACGATACGTATGCGACAAAATGCATGCAAAACTTGAAACCCATTTAAAACTCAAGACTCGTTTGAAACACATAACATAACTGATTGACAATTTGTGTCCGCAATTGTCTAAACAAATCTTAACTCTTAAAGTACCAGAGAGTGCATTGCACTCAACCCATGCCAAACATACACAGCCTACCCATACATACCACTAGTGTTTCGGTAAATAATAAGCAAAATATTAAGTCCACACAAAAATATTTGAGAAATTTTTTGTCAAAATTTTTGTTAACAATATTTGTCTGCAAAACCAAAACTCACTTTTTGCATAACTTTTGTCATTTAAAGTAAAAGTATTTGTGCGGGTATTGTATGCATCGTTACCTTATTATACGAAACCCCATAACATATGGTGTCTAAAAAAATCTCTACAATTCTTTGAGTGTATTATTATTCACAGCTAATGCCCGGTATGTGCTGCACATGCATTGCATACCTGTGCTCTCCGCTCACCGTATGTTCAATTGTGTGTTACACTCCACCTCTATCTATAACTGGCCCTGGATATCATCACCAGCACTGCTATAGCATTGTGTGTCTGTAGGCCGTTAACATCCAGTCCCACTTTGAGCATCGCATCTGACACTACTCTGAGGTGTGTGTGGAAGGACTGGTAGCAAAAGTCTTTCAGATACTCTTTTCCCAGAGCTTTAAAAGTCTCAACTCATTAGAGAAACTTTTTTCTCAATTCAATGTTAAGTTAAAGTCAAACACTTTTTTAAATTTTCATAAACGCTTACGATTTTAATGTTTGCCTAAAAAGAAAAAAGTTTTCCAAAGTTTTTACCAAAGTTTTTAATTTCTGTGAAAAAACACTTTAATCTAATAGTGAGTGCGAGTCGTGAGAGAGATTTTGATAAACGCTTACGATTTTAATGTTTGCCTAAAAAGAAAAAAGTTTTCCAAAGTTTTTACCAAAGTTTTTAATTTCTGTGAAAAAACACTTTAATCTAATAGTGAGTGCGAGTCGTGAGAGAGAACAGCATTTAATTATACAGTCGTGTCGTAGCGTTGGCTGTGTTTTATGGTCGGACTGATCGGTCGGTCAGGTTATGCCAGTGCTCTCGCATAGTGTACTGTACTCTATGTGTTAGCCTTACATCAAACTCCAGCGATTGTGTGCTTAAAGTGTATGCCTTTTTTGCTTAGAAGATGCAAATAATAATAGCATTTAATTGTGTGAAAAACTAAACTCATTTCCTGTGAGAGAAAAACTTCACATCAAAATTGGATCACAAAAGTTGGAGACATAAGACATACATATATGTAATAATAGCAAAAATATTCACGTATTTCGAGACAAACAATGTTTTTATGAGGTATTTATTCAATGCTTTTTTCTTAACCCAACTATTTCTGCAACAATTGTGTGTCTGATTTATATTTTATCATTTCTTATGATATATCAAGTCTTGAAAAACCTATTCATGTATTCATTGAGCAAATGATTTCTCAATGAAAGAAAGGCTTGAATTAAAAATAATAATAAAAACAATTATATAGCGTTTCAAATGTGTGTCACCTACTGAACCAAACTAACCA